GAAGGGATGGACAAAGGGTAAGAGACTATAGAATGAACAAAGAATGAAGGGGTGGTCAAAGGAATGGAATGATGAAGTAAGGAAGGGTAGTAGTAAGAGTCAGTACACATATAGTCTATAGACAGCACTCCTAAGGGACAGAAGTCCTGAGTTCTAGTACAGAAGGGTGCAGAACCCTTAGAACTGAAGGTACAAGAGTAGAGAACCATAACATTACCCTCCCTCTAAAACTAATCATCCTAATTAGTAAACATTAGACTTAGTTAGTAGCTCAGGTATAGGTTAGAACAGTAGGGTTTGGAAATCTGTGAGGCAGAGTTGATGTGGAGCACTCAGATGAAGTTAATAGAAGTCTCAGATTGTCTTAACAGTATGAGTAAAATTCTCAGCAGGTTCCCAAGTGTGTTCTTCAACTAAGTATTCCTTCTAGTAGATAAGGAACTTGAGCTTTCTGTACACTAGCTTAGTATCTACTACATACTCTACTTTGTATTCTGGTTCAGAACTAATGAGTTCTAGTAGAGGCAGTAGGAGTCTTTATTACAAAGGAAAACCCAGATTGTAGTACTAAGACAGTAGAACCTTGTTAAACACTGAGTGTATACACTTCTATGTTGCTAGAAGTTAGAGTTTGTAGACAGAGGTACTGACCTTCTTTTTAATAATGAAGGGTCCAAAGCACTTGTTGTCCAACTTCTTTATTAGGCAATCTATAGTCAGGTTAGTAGCTTCTAGTATAACTTTGTCACTAGACTAGTAATCCTTAGCTACAGACCTCTTTCAATCATAGTTCTACTTTATAACTTGTACTACCTTTTCCAAAAGAGCTTGTGTGTCCTCCCTGGTTCTGTGCATCTGTTCTACAAAGTCTGTTACAGATTCAGAACTACTGTTCTGGTTCAGAACTGTCCCCTAGTACAGATGTCTTCTATGATTGAGGAAGAACAGGGACTGTCCTGTTACAGAGTGTTGCTAGTTATTGTACACAAATTCTGTCAGAGCTAACCATTCAGACCAATCTGATTACTAATGATTAATAAACATTTAGAGGTAGAGCTTGATCTCCTGATTGACTCACTCAGTTTGACTGTCAGTCTGTAAGTAATAGGTAGTAGAAGGGTTCCCTTGAATTCTGAGAAGTGTATACAAGTCCTGTATGAATTTTGACTCAAATTGTAGTCTGTAATCATGAATGAGCTTCTAAGGGAGTCTGTACAACTAGAAGACATGATCCTAATAAATACACACTATACTTTTAGAAGTGAGTTCTGTTCAGGTTAAAACTATATAGACTTGCTTAGAGAATCAGTTGACAATCATACAGATAGTATTGTAACCCTAAGACTTAGGTAGCTTACTAATCAGGTCTACTAAGACTTCTTCCTAAGGGTGATCCAGGATTCAATACAGATGTAGGGGAGTCTAAACCCTTGTCTGGTAGGTCTTAGTCTGTTAGCATGTATTATAACTAGTCATGTACTTTAGGATTTCCCTCTACATTCTGGGCTACTAGTAGTTCCAAGTAATGAGTTCCTGCATTTTGTGTCAGCCTGAATGTCCTACAGTTGGATTGTTGTAATGAGCTTAGACAATGTCCTTCTACAGCTTCTAATCCTTCAGAATGTACAGTTGGCCTTCCTAGTAAACCTGTTCATCCTTATCCTCCTCCTAATCCCTAGCCTGCTTCTCCAGCTACTTTACTATAACCTAGTCCTGTATGTGTCTTAGAGCTTACTGTATGTAAGTGATAAAGTCAACATTCTCAGATTTGAGTCAGATCTCTCAGATTGTCTTAGACACAAAACAGGAATTGTTTAGGAGAACAAGATTTTCATTATTATTCTCCCCCCTTTCATGACTTACTTATCTTAAGAGTAAATCAGCTTTTATCATTTGTGTTCTAGGTTTGTAGGTTAGTATAAAGTCATAGTCCTACAGTTCTAACATCTAGTAGGCTTAGTAGTGGTTGAGCTTCTGAGGCACCTGGAAGTACTAGAGATTAAGGTAATCACTCTAAATCTTAAACTTCTATACAGTACTAAGGAGATATTGACACTACTCCTCTAGAGAACAGACAATTACAAAGAGTTCCTTATTATAGATAGAGTAGTTCTGTTCTGTTGTAGAGAGGGATTCTAATTGGAACACTATTGGACACTACTTTCTGTCAATGAACTGAGACAGTACTACTCTATTTGTAAAGTCAGAAGAGTTGGCTTTAACTCAGAACTTGTTCACAACTGTCAGAACTACTAATACAGGCTTACTAGTAATAGCTTGCTTGAGAGACTCAAACACAGACTACTACTGATCATCCTATTACTAAGGAGCATCTTTGCCAGTAAGATTGTGAAGGGGCCAGACAATAGTACTAAAGTCTTGAATAAAGTGTTAGTAGTAGTTTACAAACCTAAGAAACACTTGGACCTGTTTCAGGTTCTAAGGTTGTAGCCAGTTCCAAACTACAGTTACCTTTACTAGATTCATACAGACCTCTCCTCCACTAATCACAAAGTCTAGATAATCTACTGACTCTTACACAAAAGAGTACTTTACTTCTCAGAGGAACAGTTTATTATCTTAGAGCCATTGTAGAACTGCTTGGATCAGTCAGTAATAGTGCTTGACTGTCTGGGTAAAGATCAGAATGTTGTCCAGATACACACTAACATACTCTAAGTTAATCAGATCTGTAAGGATGTGATTCATGAATGACTAGAACATTGTAAGCAAGTTAGTTAGTCTAAAGAACATTATAGTTGGTTCATACAATCTGTAATTGGTTCAGAATACAGTCTTCTACTCATCTCTGTCTTGGATCCAAATATTATTGTATCCTTATCAAATGTCCAACTTAGTAAAAACCCTAAATGTATGTGTCTTATTAATGAGCTCCTGAATCAGGGGGAGTAGGTACTTGTTTTTGACAGTACTCTTATTAAGACAACAATAATCCTAGACTGGGCAGAGCTTCCCATCTTTCTTTTTGACAAAGAAGAAAGGGGAGGCTATAGAGGACTTTAAGGGTTAGATCTGGCCATTCTGAAGATTTTCCTAAAGGAACTCATTGAGTGCCTCCTACTTGTCTCTGTTGAGTAGGTAGACCTTACAATCCTTAGGTTGGAAACTCTTAGTTAATTCAATTACATAGTCTTAGAGACAGTGTTTGGGAAGCTGGTTGAATTCCTCTTTACTAAAGACTTTAGAGAACTCTCAGACAAAATCTGGCAGGCTGGGTCTATGTGTGTTCTAGAGTAGAGTTGTTTCAAGAGGGTTCTAGACTGGTTCTGTTACAGACATTCTTCAGATCAACTCTGTTCTGCCTTGACTAGAATATGTATTCACATATTTATCCTAGTTGAAGAAGAACAACTAGTTACCTTTATCAGAACTGTTAGTAACATTAGAAGTGTCTGTATCTACTCAGAACAGTAGTGTAAGGTAGCTGTAAGACTCAGAACACTGATTGAACACAAGTGTCTACTCTAACTAGTCAATAGTAGGGTTGTAAGCCTTGAGCCATTCAAATCTGATAAAGATGTCTGTCTTTCTAAGGTTAGTGACTCTAAACTTAATACTTTCCTTATGATCCTGAATAGTCATCCATAGTTGGACAAACTTGGTGATCTGACCATTCTGGTTCAGAGTTCTGTTTGTATTGTATACTAGGATTGGAAGTAGAACAC